GAAAATTTCTGGACTCACCCTTTTTGAGGTTTTGAAAGATTCTTATCTGCCTAGGAGGTTTAGGTACCTATAGGCCTTCCTAAAGACAGAGGGATAAGCTGGATACTTTCTCATGATCCCTTTTAACCCTATAAATTTGGGAGTCTTGGGAATATGTCATTCCTTATGTTCACATAACTTCAGCTTTTATCATGCATCATGGTCAAATCCAGCCTGACTTGCCTCTCTAGGACCTGGTGAATTATATTGGTTGTTTGAAAAGGATAAAGGATCACCTATATGGTTCTGCTGTTCTGCTTCTCTCCTTTGATCCCTGGGGCAGCTGACATGTTTTTTAAGGGAAATTACATCCCCTGACTATGTGCTGAGAGCCAAACATTCAGTGAAAGTGAAGCAGGAGACCAATGACAGAGCCCTCTCTGGCAGACCTCCAAGGGCCATTTGGGAAGTGCAAGAGCTCCAGGCCTACCTACTGAAATGCTCTGACCATGGAGTGGTAAGAAGGAGACTGAGGGGAACCAGAATGAAGTCACAGAGGGTCTAGGAAGGAAACTGTAAGAAAGAATGGTCTTGTGTGTTTCTGGTGATTGGAGAGAATTCCTATGCTTAATGGAAAACACAAATATTCATGCTAAAGCTGTTAATACCAGAGGACACATTACAAGAAACATCTGGTGTAAGCTAGGGGCCAGTCAAGCAAACTCATCAGCAGCAGTTCTAATTTAGATCTACTCTGAGTTTTCTGGGCTTGGTGGGCATCTATGGTCTGGGGCTGCTTGCTTGACCTTTCTGAGACCAATAATGGCTAGCATTTATACAGAGCTTTGAGATTGGCAAAGCACTTTACAAATATTATATAATTTTGTCCTCCCAACAACCCTAGGAGGTAGATCTTATGATTTTCCCCATTTTACAGATACAGAAACTGAGGCAGACAGATGTTACTTGACTTATTGACTTAAAAGTCTTGTAAATTGCTGATTTTTGCCTCTGTAGCTTGTGTGTTCATGTATACATTGTGAAGAGTAGGGAATCTCAGAATTATCAAGTATTCTTCATAAGTCCTGATAAAATGTTAGGGTCAGATTGGCACAGGGAAACCTGGGGTTGGATACCATGTCTACCACCTTTCCATCTGTGTGACCTTTAGCAAGCATTTAACCACACTTGGCCTCAATTACTTTATACATAAAATGAGATTAAAATAGAGAAGCTCTAAGGGCCCTCTAAAGTATATATCTATGATTTTATGAAGTCACTTCTACATTCCTCTCCTCTTTATAAATGAGGAAACTGCCCTAAGACCCTCTAGTGAGTGAGTTGAAAGATTAGTAGTTGTGAGGATATTTTGTTTTTCTATAAGTCCACAAATGTATATAAATAAGAAAAGATGTTGGTTTATGTTTTAGATGGTTTCATGAAGGTCCTCATTTTCTAGATCAATGATGTCAAACTCAAATAGATATGGGCCCCATGTTGACTTAGAAAACCACAAATTAACATTATTTATGCTGTATTATATTTTTACTTATTTTGTTTAAAATTTCCCAATTACATTTTAATCTGATTAATTAAGGAGAATATGTAACAGTTATATAATTAATTATATCTGGTTCCACTCAGGAGTTTTTCACTCAGAGTTTGATATCTCTGCTCTAGATGGAGATGCTCTGTGGGCGTGGAATTAATCTGTGCCCGGATTAATGCTGACATTATAGTGGGAGAGGTCACTATACTTCTATCCAGGATCTACACAAAAGCTGATTTTTTTCACACTCTGTTCCTTACTTTCATGAGAGACACCAAGAAGAACTAAACAAACTGATATCAATGAATTATTATGATTATTATTGTTTAAAGTGGAGTAAGCTGCTAGTGTCTGCCTAATCTCCTACTACATTTTCTACAGCTTTAGCAGTGGGGATTGACCATGCACTAAATAGGGCCCTGAAATCTGTGCTCTGCCCAAGGTGCTGAATTTCACTGAATTTAGAGAGCATTGGCAGTACTTGTCCTTCAGCAATATAGAAACAAAAGACAACATTTAGATATTTTTTTTAAAATGGTTAAAATAGGAAGCTTAAAATATATAATATGTCCTTATTTTAAAAAAAGTTAAAATAATTTAAGTAGTGCACTAGGGTATGTTCTTCCCCTTCCTACTGCTCCTCTCTCTCCACCTTGCCTCACGCTGATGTCCCAAGTTATCTGTGTCCCCTACACTGATATCTGGCCCCTTTCTCCCACTTCTGGCCAACAGAAGATGTTGCTAGCCCCGAGTGCAACAGTTCCTAGTTTTAGCTGTGCTGATTGATGCTCGTACTAATCTTACACTGCCTTCTAAATCAAACAATTAAATTGTGCCCAATATTATTTTAGTGTCATGTATTTTACTGTAATTGAATTATCTGAAATCTGTGACCTTATTTAGTAGCTCAGAATATCCAGTCAAACAGAATATCCTGTTTCTCAATCATTCTGGATAATTGGCAGTTTCCTATAATATATATGAAATTCACCGCAACCAAAACAGACACTCAGAGAAGAAAAGCTGGTCGGTGGGTGTCTGTCTTGTTAGTGACTTTTGACATTTGGGTCAATTGAAATCATTTCCTCTAAGACTTAAAACTTGGCAACGGTGGTCCAGAAATTCCCACTGCAGAATAGCCTATGGGCTAGTTACTACTAATTAGAAGGAGAATGTGTCTACTATACTTAGAAATGTCATTTACCTGAACCTACTGATTTAAAAAATTCTGCTTCTTCTGACAGTTGCTAAAGACCAGATTCTGCAATCACTTACTTAGACCCCAATAATAGAGTACATCCATGACTCATGAAATACAGAATAAGGATGCTTACCTGATTAAATATGGAGCTTCTGAAATGAGCTGTTCAATAAAAATGACAACTCTTGAGAAATGCTTTCCTCTGTTTTGTAGTACCATTTCAGAAAATAATATATCTTCCATTTATAGAACTCCTCATAAGGGTCTTTCACATACATCTCATTTAATTCTTTCAGTGACCCTTTGATGTCAATAGAAAAGGCATTATCTTGGGCCTAGTTTATAGATTAAAAAGAACTTGAGCATCAAAGATGGTCATATAGCTAATAAGCGGTGGCAGAGTCTGAGATCAAATCTAGGTCTTCCTGATGGAATGGAAATGACCTTGGATTTGGAGACAGAGAATCTAGCCTTGAACCTCAGCTTTTCCACTTAAAGCCTGTTCGACTTGGAGCAATCTCTCGGAGTTTCTCTCACTAATTCTAGTACTGTCTTTGCTGTACCACGCTGCCTCTCATACCTGTCTTATAAAAAGGGTTTTTTCTGAAGGCAAAGCTGAATGTACTTTTACTCAGTGGTTTTGGCCTCCAGATGGAGAAATATGGTTACAAGAGTTAATCATTTTGAATCTCAGCTTCTCTGAGATAGGCCAGATGTGACTAGACAGATTTATAGAGTGTGAAATCCAGAACAGATTAGAATAGCAATTTTGCGTTCATTCCCAAACATCCTAAATCAGCACCCCCTGACTGGACCAGAGCAATCTCTGACTGTTCTAGTGAGAAGGTTGTCATGGCAACTGAGTTGTAAGCTTAGCCAACAGAAGCTGAATCCAAACACAATAGACTAGGAAGATTGCATACAGGGCAACTTGCCAGATCTGTTTCTACACAGGTACAGTGAAGCATCAGAGCTGTGAGATTATCAGCTGGTGCTCCAGCAAAATCACAGTCAAGACTCTTCCCAGGCATATGCAAAACACCACCCATCGTTTGACTTCAGTGACTGCGGAAAAATAAGCACTAAGGGATAGGTACACACATCAGGGCTGCTGCCCCATTGCCCCTAGACAATTCACTGGAGTCCAGACTTCAGAAGTCAATTCTATGGCAGGTAGTGCCACCTGGTGTCCATTTAGCTGTTGGTTTACATATTACATAGGTTGTGAAGAAGGTGGTGGGTACTCTATCACCATGACATAGTAGACACAGGTTCCACTTATTCTGAGCTGTGCTTGTGATTCTCATATGTGGGTAACAGAGTTAACCATCTGTCAGAATGGAAAGAATGCTAAAGATCTGCCTCAGATACTTAATAGCTGTGTGACTCTGGGCAAGTCATTTGACCTTTCATTTCCTCATCTGTAAAATGGAGATAATAAATAGCACCTACCTTTCAGGGGATGATGTGAAGATCAAATGAATTAACACAAGTAAAGCACTTTGTAAACTTAAAGCATTATATAAATACTAGCTATTACAGAGGCTCTGAGTCTCCATTTTGTCATCAGTAAAATGGTCATAGTGTTTACCTCACAGGGCTGTTGTAAAACCCAAAGGGGATAATGCATATGAAGTTCTTGCAAACTATATGAATGCCATATAGATTTCAATTATTGTTGCTATTACCTGAGGTTATTATTAAAATGGGTACCTGCTAGATATGGGAGCTGAGGAAAATAACATAGAACAAACACTCAAGAAGAGTTAGGTCAGGAGAATTCCCATAATTTGATGGTACCAGAGAAAAACAAAGAGCAAGACAAAGCAGGTGAGGGCTGTCAAAGGCAAAAACTGAGAATAGTCAAAAAATGCCCAGGATCCTAGCCCTGGAAAGGGGTCAAAGGGGCTGCTGTGAGGGAAGAGAGGGAAGAGAAGTCTAGGAGATAGCTAGAGTTGAAGGAAGTTCATGATTATTTTAATAGAATGTTTCAAAGAAATACAAATAGAGCTCTAATTGCCATTCATCACCTTTAGCATAAATGGTTATGTGAAATAAAAAAGGCCTTGAGACCTTCCACTTAGCATTTTACTTTTATCTTGTTCAATCCACTCCACCCCCACCCCTGAAAAAACAGCCAATCAAGTTCAGGTTATCCTGGGGGTCTGGGAGTGGAAGATGAAATGGAGAAGCTTCATGAAAAGGGCCTGAATTGTGGTCCAGTCCAGACATGGGCAATGATCATGCTGTGTTTCTGTATTTCTCCTCCAGGGTTTGAATTTTTTGAAACAAGTGCCAAGGACAACATAAACGTCAAGCAGACATTTGAGCGCCTCGTAGATATCATCTGTGACAAAATGTCAGAAAGTTTGGAGACAGATCCTGCCATCGCTGCCGGGAAGCAGAATACAAGACTCAAAGAGTCCCCACCACCACAGCAGCCCAACTGCGGCTGTTAGTGGAGCCGCTGGCCAAGGCAGCACTAGTGCGTTCTATTGCCAAAAAAGAGCATCCACAAATGGTCTATTAGCCTTTATTTATACTGTCTATTAATTTATTTGAGGGAAGTCCTTGATGTCAATGAGTGATATGTGCATACAGCTCTTTGGAAATTTCCTGTGTCGATATGTGACAAATACGTGATCTTAAATTTCTAAGGATTATCCATTTATCAACCTCTGATATCTGCATGTGAATAGTTGTTTGTTCGTCTTCTGAGTTTTTTACTTTTTTTTTTTTAAGATTATGCCACATTCATCTGGTGCCATGACCTCAGACTATAATTTTACTGCTACTTCTGATTGCTTCATCAAATTCAAATTATGCTGCTCATGATCACTCTGTGGGGCAATGATGGGGTATCCTTGGTGGGGGTGGGGAGGGGAGAGTAGAAAACAAGGCCACAAAGCTTCTTTGTTGTATTTGCTTTCCTCTTGACTGAAAATCAATTCTGAAATATTACTGGTAATTAAGGAGATAGTCACTGGGGCTGCTTAGCTTACATATTAAGCAATGTGTCCATTTTTCACTGATATTAAAACTAAGGGGAATATTGATTCTAAAGAAATACAAATATTATTTTCATAACCCTCAGGTGTTGTATGAGGTTCAATGGTTAACCTGGCAGAAAATTGGATTTAAACAACTATTTGTTTCTTGCTGTTGTTAAAACAACAATTACTACTACAACAAAATGAAACATGCCACCTTTGCTTAAAATGAAGCTAAACCATGGCAACTGTTTCTACTGGTTTTATGCATTACTCTGAATGATTGGGTCACTGGGTAAATGGAGGCATAATTATAGAATTCCATAGCTCTGCAGAAAGCATTTTGACTGAGACAAGGTGAATTGTTAAGACCTCCAATGTGTTAGACAAAACTACCCTTCCCTTCCCTCTCCCTTCCCATTTCCCCAGTCTGGAACAAACCCATTCATCTGGGCCTGGGTCACTAAGTCAACATTCAGGTCAATCAGTTCTGATTGTAGGATCAGTGAGAGCTTGAGGGCACAAGGATTAAAGTTAGAGTTCTGTCTTTTGATTTGGGAAAACCTTTTTTCTCCCTTCTTTCTGCTTGTTTCTGTGGTTGTCTCAGAAGTCTTTTTGCTTTGGGAGGACACGTTTAGGTGGTTTTTAAAACCAATCTGGGCCTTCCCTTCAAGATGATTTGGGTGATGCAAACATGGCCTCCAAGAGGTGAAAGCAGAGCTTACCTCTGCCTTTAAGGCCTGGATGTTTGGAATACTGGCAACCCACCTTAACTCCATCCTCATACCATGTGGCTTCACAAACAAAAAAAAAGTGTTAATTAACTAAAAGATCTTGAAAACACTCTCTGGAGCTCAGTTTTGTGCACATTGTTTCACAAATATTTCACAAATAGATCCCTACTCCCAAGTGTCCCAGATTTTTTGAAGATGTAGATGTTAATGGCCTACAACCCACTGTGTTAAGTATAGTAATTTTGTATCTCATGTGCTTGCTTATGGACAACTAGGATCTGTGAGGGATATAGGAAGACAGGAGCCTTATTAAGGGTTTGGAAGACAGTTTTATTAGGGGAGCTTGCAATTTGTTCAGTTTTGTCACCTGAGGAGGTGATTATTAAACTAGGATACGTGGGATTATTTACAGAGTGAAAGGATTCTTTGCTTTTTCTGTGGAATTATACCCAGCATGAATTTCAAAATCAGAGGCCCTTCCTCTGACATGGTTTCGTGTGTGTGTGTGTGTGTGTGTGTGTGTGTGTGTGTGTGTGTGTGGTCCAGAAAAGCCATAGATAGAAGAAAAACTGGCCACAGTTTTGTTCGTTTTCTGAAAGGGCTCAGAAAAACATAAAAAACTCACATCATCGAGAATTGAGTCTTATAATTCAGTTGAAAATCAGACGTTATGGATAACCAGAGTTAAATTTTAGGCTTTTTTTAACTTCACTAATTTCTGCATCAGCAGTTTATTATTCCCCTAATTAATGGTAATGTCTCCATTTGACAACCTGCAAGGTATTCCTGGACCATGGAGAAATATTTGCTTTTCACTGGCTTTATATAGCAATAATTGTTTTTGAACCCTTTGAACTCTTCAAGGTGAAGAGAAAGCTAGCTTGGGAATACAACAGGTAGGTTTGCAGCTGCATGACCAGGTTTCTCAACATCAGAATCAGAGTCCTTATTAACACCTGCCTTTGTGTGGGACTTGCTAGATATTGCTGGACAGTTGAAAAACAAATAGTTCCTGGCCTTGAGTTACTTTTACGATCTATGAAATAACAAAAATAAGACAAGTTCTTTTTTTTTTACCCTTAAATATAAAAGAATTAGAGATGGTATTTTAGACAGACATTTTGGAGGGACCATTTCCTCTGCATTAAAATGAGAGAATAAAAGGCACAGCATCAGGCTTATAGTAGACACCTTATAAATGTTTGCTGAACACCTGATATCATGGAGGAAAATGGTCCAGTTTTCCCATTTTGGATGTCCCCTTCCCTGCAAACAAAATACCAAAAATCAATGGAAACAGACTCACTCTTGGAGCAGGTAATCAGGAGTGAGATGCCCTGTGTCTATACCATGCCAAACATCACATGTGTGAGTTTAGAGGCATGGGGTACCTGCAGTCTGTCTCTTTACTAAGGAGCATTTGACCTTGCTACTACAGATGCAACTACTACTACCCACTTTCATTCAGTTGTGAACTTCCCAAACCCTGATGGGTTCTGAGCTATTCTTTTTCACCTTCAATTATGCAGCTCAAATCCCAGGGTAGATTCAGTTTTTTATAATTGAATGGAAAATATCAAGAGCTGGTTGGCATCCCCATGAAATGGGGGATTTCCATATACACATGAGAAATGCTGGGTTATGGTTATTTTGTTGTTTTGTTTTTTTTTTCCATTTACTCCTGGTCTTATCTAGAGGTCCACAACACATGGAGAAACTGGCTTGAAGTGAATTGAGTGAGTTTCTATAAGCAATGTCCTACATCTTATGTAATGTATGATTTTCTATCCCCCTGGTTTTGTAATCTAGTTCTCTCCTTTTTTACCCCAGAGAGTGTTAACTGCCCACTTAACTGGACTTCTTTGAGGAAAAAACTTCATGTGTGTATATATATTCCTTAGCTGCCAGAAACTTAGGTGACTTCAGCTAGAGAACTGTCAGACATTTGTATGTCAGAGACTATTAAGGACAGTCACTTGGGAGATATAGTATATTTGGGGCCTGTGGACAGCTACTGGCTCAATCTCAGGTCACATCCTTTCCTGCCATATGTATTGATGTCATAGAAGTCCTCATGTTGGAGACAGGAAGAACTGAATTCAAATCTTGCCTCTTGACACGTACTGATTAAGTGACCTCGTAAATCACTTAACTCCTCAGCATCCTAGGCAACTCTCTGAAACTATCAGTTGCAGAGAAGGTGCCAATATGCATTGGAAAAGGCAGTTTCCTCACCCAGGAATTCCCTTTACCAATGAAATCACTCATCGAGTCCCTATGCCTATGTAAATACATTAGACAGACATTTTTCACTTTACCCCAAGCCTCAATTGTTTACTTGTAAGGGAGAGAATGAGGATGAGAACATGTATGCAAAATAACTTGAATTTAAATTGGAAAGGACTCTAAACTCCTCAGAAAAGTCTTCTGTTGCACTGTTAGGTAGAGGTGTTTTTTTTAGACCTCTTCTCCCCCTCCCCCCCGCCCCAAAGTAAAATAAAATAAAATAAAATAAAATAAAATAAAATAAAATAGATACAACCCAACTATGAGAGAGCAATGCTGCCAAACAGTAATTTTTTTTTTAAAGAATGCTATGCCTGCTTTTATATACTTCAATCCTGGCTTTCATTCTCTGCTCATCACCTCTGGGATGAGTCAGACCACATTTCACAAGTGAATCTACCTAATTCTCTCCACCCCCTCCAAAAGAGAGACAGAGACAGACAAAGAGCTAGAGACAGACAGAAAGACAGACAGACAAAGCTCAAGTATTTCAGAAATATATTTCTAAGAACTTGAATACTGATCTAGTAAATACGTAGAATTGGACATCTACTACCTAATCACCTAATCAAATAGCCACATGTATGGAGGTCTCAGCACTGCTGTGTTCAAGCCTGGATGGGTGTGAGAGTACATGAGATATTTTCTTCGAGTAAGTTTTAAGATGATAATGAAGCTTCTCTTCTGTAGACATTAAACAAGATTTGCTTTGAGCCAGCCTAACTGACACCTCCCTAGTCTACCCAAAAGATTTATCTTACTGCCACTGCTCTTTCTCTGAACAACCTCTGCTTCCCTGATGGATTTTTAAGGCATCAGGAATAAAGGGTTTTCAGAAAACTGGTCCACTTCCTATGAATTCCTTTCTGCTGCGACATCATTAGGTATATGTATGAGTGTTGAGGTTTTTATTTTTAAAGGAAAATGAGTGTGCCTTCATTTGTGAACAAATGATAGCATTAACACATGGTAAATGTGGAATGCAACAGCTATAAAATTACCACCTAATTACATGGGAGACCAATAATTTGAATACACCAATATATATTTTTATGCTTTACCTTTATGCAAATAATTTGTAGACCTTTTAGTCAGAGGATTACCTTGCCTTTTACTTGTGTGTGTGTGTGTGTGTATGCATGTGTGTGTATGTGTATGTTGTGTATACACATGTGTGTTGTGGGGGTACCTATTTAAATCTCTGGAACTTGTTACATAACTTTGTAAATGAAATACATTTATCATGCTCATTCCACTCACCCAACTTGGGTCCTATGCTTCAAGCTGAACTTTCATAAAGTGACATCTCCTGCAGACAATCATCAACAAACCCTGGCTCATTACCTAGTGCTTTATCCCAGGGTAGGTGTCTTAGTGCATGATCGTAATATAGTATGCAGTCATTGTATGCTAGACATAAATGCTGCAACATGAGTTTAACCAAACCAG